TGCCTGGAATCTGTCAGAGTTTTGGGGGTTTTGTTGCTGTGCAGATATAAATCACTCACTTTGGATGTGTTAGAGATTCCTTCCTGCCTGGAATCTGTCAGAGTTTTTGGGTTTTTGTTGCTGTGCAGATATAAATCTTTAATTTTGAATGTGTGATAGAATTCTTCCTGCATTAAATCTGTCTGAGATTTTGTGTTGTGATTCCTATGAAGATGTAAATCAATCACCTCCGTCGTCTCACAGATTTCTTCCTGCCTGAAATCTGTCTGAGATTTTGTGTCGTCATTCCTATGAAGATGTAAATCAATCACCTCCGTCGTCTCACAGATTTCTTCCTGCCTGAAATCTGTCTGAGATTTTGTGTCTTCATTCCTATGAAGATTTAAATCAATCACCTCCGTCGTCTCACAGATTTCTTCCTGCCTGAAATCTGTGTGAGATTTTGTGTCGTCATTCCTATGAAGATTTAATTCAATCACCTCCGTCGTCTCACAGATTTCTTCCTGCCTGAAATCTGTCTGAGACTTTGGTTTTTTGTTGCTGTGCACATATAAATCCTTAATTCTGAATGTGTGATAGAATTCTTCCTGCCTTAATTCTGTCGGAGATTTTGTGTTGTCCCTACGAACACGCACATCAATCACCTCAGAGATTTCTTCCTCGCTGGAATCTGTCAGAGTTTCGTTGCTGTGCAGATCTAAATCACTCATTTTGAATGTCTGAGAGATTTCTTCCTGCTTCAAATCTGTCAGAGATTTTGTGTTGTCATTCCTATGAGGATGTAAATCAATCACCTCTGTCGTTTCACAGATTTCTTCCTGCCTGAAAATCTGTCAGAGATTTTGTGTCGTCATTCCTATGAAGACGTAAATCAATCACCTCCGTCGTCTCACAGATTTCTTCCTGCCTGAAATCTGTCTGAGATTTTGTGTCGTCATTCCTATGAGGATGTAAATCAATCACCTCCGTCGTTTCACAGATTTCTTCCTGACTGAAATTTGTCTGAGATTTTGTGTTGTCGTTCCTATGAAGTTGTAAATCAATCACCTCCGTCGTCTCACAGATTTCTTCCTTCCTGGAATCTGTCAGAGTTTTTGGTTTTTTGTTGGTGTGCACATATAAATCCTTAATTCTGAATGTGTGATAGAATTCTTCCTGCCTTAATTCTGTCGGAGATTTTGTGTTGTCCCTATGAACGCGTACATCAATCACCATCGTCTCAGAGATTTCTTCCTCGCTGGAATCTGTCAGAGTTTCATTGCTGCGCAGATATAAATCACTCATTTTGAATGTCTGAGATTTCTTCCTGCCTCAAATCTGTCAGAGATTTTGTGTTGTCGTTCCTATGAAGACGTAAATCAATCACCTCCGTCGTCTCACAGATTTCTTCCTGCCTGAAATCTGTCAGAGATTTTGTGTTGTCGTTCCTAAGAAGACGTAAATCACTCCCTTTGGTTGTCTGACAGATTCCTTTCTGACTCAAATCTGTCAGAGATTTCGTGTTGTCGTTCCTATGAAGACGTAAATCACTCACCTTGTTTGTCTGAGAGATTTCTTCCTGCCTGAAATCTGTCAGATTTTGTGTTGTCCTTCCTATGAAGACGTAAATCACTCACTTTGGTTGTCTGACAGATTTCTTCCTGCCTGGAATCTGTCTGAGTTTTTATGTTTTTGTTCCTGTGAATGTGTAAATCGCTCACTTTGGTTTTCTGAAAGCATCTAGGCATGAAGTAATCTTTCAGACTTTTCTTTTTTTTCTTGCGTGAAAGCTCTTCAATTTGGTCTGACAGATTCGTTTCTGTCTGGACTAGTAACAGGTCTTGATAGATTTTCTCAGCTTGCTTTAACAAATCGTTGTTTTGCTGAATCAGAGCTTTCTTCTTGTCTTTTGACATCTTGTACTTTTCTTCCAATATACTCATCTTCTTCAATTTCATGGTCAAGACAGCAAGGTCTTCTTGAAGATCTCTCATGTTTTCCGCCAGGTCCTTAATTTCTTCCTCTTGAAACTTGTATTTTTCCTCAACATATGGAGAGAGTCCAGTTTCATTTTCAGAGCATGAGCCTTCTTTTTCAATTTCTGGTTTACCGCACGATCGATTTTGATCTGTTTTTCCAGGAACTTACAATCTTCTTCAAGATCTTCAGTGTCTTCTATTTTCATGGCAATTTTTTCTATTTCCTTAGCCAAAACTTCATTCTCTTCCCGGAGAGTGCTGGCTGTGTGGAGATGTCGGCATACTTTGTCAACAAGTTTCCCAACACTTCTAGTAAATCTTTTCCTGAGATTAAGGGTCTTGACATAAATCTCGAAATCTTTTCAAACATTTTCCGCTGAGTTTGATGAACAACTTCTTTCGGTTAAAAGGTTTGCAGCAATTTCTGTAAGCAGAGACGATGCGTTCTCCTTCAGAATCAAGCCAAGTGAACCTTACAATGAAATTAATAGGATACCACCTCTGTGACCTCAGAGGAGTTGTGACATCATTGTTGACATCATTCTTTAATCCTGTAGCCATGCCAACACGATGACCTGACAACATTCTGACACGCCGGGGCCACCACAGAAACTTTCAGTGATGTGTGATAAACTGCTGATAAAATAAAACACCTTTTGTCTTAATATAATTTCAGTAACTATTATTTTTTTGCCCTGTAATAAGATTAGCCATTCAAAATTAAAGGCAGCCATGGCAAAGTACATATTAAATAGCAGAGAATGAAATAGGTTGTTCTCAAAATAGATATTTATGAAGATTATTAACAATTAGAGGTTAATTGCACCAAATAACATGAACACCATATGCCTGTTTTTAATGTGTTCCTTCTTGAATTCCAGAATTTTTATAAAAATAAAAAAGATTAGGGAAATGAATACTGATAACCACCAGAAAAAAAATTCCGCATTTTAAACTAAGGTATTAAACTAAGATAAAGAATATAACTTAAAATTTTATTATTTTTGGTTGTTGTAAAACTTAAAGACAGTAAAAATTGGTTTGTTTTGTTTTAAAATACATATAAATGATTTTTTTTAAACAATTATTTTTTGGTTGCAATGCTGACATATTAAAAATGAAATGTAACTCAGTCCCTGAAGTGCTCTCCTGCATGACAGAGGTTTTTTGTATATAAATATACAAAAAATTGTATATTTATATATATATATATACAATTTTTTATATATATATATATATGTAGCACCCCACTGCTCTGTCACCTAATAACTGGGACGAGAACTCCAACTCACTGATTGGTGCTATTTGGGTTCGTTAAGTTCTGGTAGATACCACGCAGGTTACCTATGTGAAGTAAATCATTACTCATCCAATCTTACACGACTTTGATGTAGCATAAATAACTCCAGACAACCAGCTAACAGAACAGTTTCTTTTAATCAGAACTTGAAGAAATAATGTTAGCTCACAATGCCCCGAAATAATCAAGGAACTTAAATATAGAGCAAAGTTATTAATCCACTACAGTAAAGGTTTCCCAACATAAAATAAAGCCGATAAGGCACTTTTCTTTTCAGTCCCTTTTGTTTTCCTCACTTTAACTTTTGGTCTTTTAAGAAAAACATCACCTTACTTTAACCTATGGTCTTACTACAACCAAAATGTAACTTTAGTCACCAACAGAACTCCATACATTTACCAAAAAATTACCATTTTAAACACAATATCACACATGGGCCCATACTCTCTCTCTCACACACACTGTCCGGTACCGGTTAAAGTTTCCGTTGCAGGCCTGATGAAGCTAGGGTGCGATGGCGTTCCGACACTCCTCTCAATTTGAACCAGAAAATAACTCAAACCTACTCGCTCAGCCGTCGTCCTCACCGTCAAGGTTTCTTCGCGAGTCCAAATTTCTTTGGCAACTTTGCCACACAAGTTGCAGGACTACTCCTCCGTCGCGCTGAAATCCATGTCGCTGTGTTGCTAGGTTCCTCTTCTCCTCGGATCAACCGCAGTTTTTCCTCCGTACTTTCTCCACAGAACACTTGGGCTGGTATCCTACACTCCGTGTGCAGAATCACTGGTACAAAACATCCAAAAAATACAGTTCCTTCTCCAACCTTGACTTCTAGAAACATTAGCATCGGCCTCCATTAACTTCCTCCCTCCTTTCTCTCCCGCGTTCTTCTCGCTTCTCCTTCCCATAATCCCCTTCTACTGAGTTTTTTTTTCTCTGTGTTGAGTTCACTTGTCCCTCGTTAATTTAAACTACCTTCATAGCTAGGAAATTCAATAGTCTTTAACTGATGAGATCATTTCTAAAACAAAAATACACTTATGTATGTACACAAGTTACCTCCAGAAAACTTTGGCTTTCTGCTTTTTTCATTATTTCTCACATTACCACAGTACTTCTCCCTTAATCCATTTAATCACTCAGATTAAAATGTACAAAACAATAATGCATGTTTCTCCTTATTCCCTTTTTTCATTTTTTACACAAAACCAACCTCGGAAATATTTTGTAAATATTAAAAGGCCTTAAGTGCATTGGTTTTTAACCAGGGGCTATATATATATATATATATATATATATATATATATATATATATATATATTATTCCTAATAATGACCTTTTTCTATAAAAATACAGACTGATTTTTTTTATAAGCCTTAATTTATCTTCACTGAGAATTTTCTGTTTCTCCTAATGTTAAGATTAGAAGACTAAGTCAGACCAATAAAAACATTTTTGATAAATTTGTTCTCAATGTAAAGTATGTTGAAAACCTACTTAATGATTGAGTTTCAAGAGCCACAACAAAAGGCCAATTTTTTTAAATAACATGAATGTCAACCTGACTAAGCATGGGCAGCATTTTCATTTGACTACTTTCTGAGTTAAAATGTGTTTTTAGAGAAGTAATTGGCAAAAAAAAGAAAAACAAAGACTTCCTTGTCATCATTGGTTACAACTTCTCTGTCATGTTTGCTCTAAGGTTTCTAACCCACATGCAAGAACACAATCAGGTAGGCGGTTAAAGCACAAAAATGATTTATTGAGACAGAGGAAAAAGGGAAAGGAGATGGGTTCTGGAGCGGGTAACCGGTTCGTCCGACTGTCAATGAGATGGTACAGGTTAGTGAGCGGGTAGGAGAGAGTCTCTCCGGATTTAACAGATTGGATCTTACTTGGAGGTGAGTATGACTGCTGGCAGAGCACTGGAGAACTGAGCTGGTTGGAGGGCGGACAGGAAATCCTGGTCTCTTGGGGAGGCGTCCAAAGCGATCGAGTAGCAACGGAGGCTAGGAATTCCGGGGCAGACGGCCCACTCGGGAAATCAACAAGGAGACGGCGGGTTTACCTAACGTGAGAGAAAACAGGAGTTAGATCGGAGTAGATCTCGGAGATCTCGGAGGGCCTATCATGCAACGATTGTTACCTAGGTAAACAAAACACTCAGGCGGAGAGGAGTCGTTCCGCCACTGTCCTATAAGCACCCAGGCCGAGCCCTCCAAACAAGCTGCAGGTGTGTCGACGGGGTTGGCATGGCACAACTCCAGGGGCTCTGCATCCTAGCGACACCTGGTGGGTGCCATGGGAAGCAGCAGGTGCTCCAGGGAGACAACAAAAAGAAACAAAAGAAGAACACAGACCCTGACACTCTCCACACAATCTGTGCACAAGCATGGATAAATGTCAATCTCTGGATTTACAGTGGGGGTAGAGACAACCTAACCTAACCCAGTGCTTCTCAATTATTTTCCGTTACGCCCCCCCTAGCAAGAAGAAAACTATTCGCGCCCCCCACTCCCCACCGTGACTATCCATCTCTGCATAACATTTTTTCATTAACATTAAAGAAAAAAAGAAAGACATATGGTCAAACTTACAAAGAATAACTTTTATTAAATCGTGTTTTAAGTCTGCAACAGAAAAGATTTTAAGTGCATCAATGCCTGAAATTAAAAATAAATAAATCCATGTCTACTGCTGCAGGCAGTATCAGCTCCTCTGCTATGGTGTGGGGCTTTTTGCACTGCGCAATTTGGTACGCCACCTTATATGATGCTAGCAGCGCTCGATGGTTTACTGAAGTAGCCTTCACAAAGCGGGATGACTGTTGGCAATATTCAGCACGTTTTCGCTGAAAAAACTAGCGGCTTATCGGCGTGATTGGGATGTAACGTATTTAAGTGACGCGCTAATTTATTTGGCTTCATGCTGTCCGCTGCAAGCATTTTTGGACACAGCAAACACACCGGTCTTTCCTCTTCTCCAACTGTAGTCACAGTGAAGCCAAGCGCTAAATAAGATTCGTCGTATTTCCTCTTCTTAGCTTTCGGTTGACTTTCTGTTGTCTCATTATCTTTGTCTCTCTCCTTTTCTTTTCATCCCTGTTAAAAACTTTTTCATGTTGGGGGTTGTTTGAATAACGGACGCCATAGACAGAACGCAGTCGGAGCTTTTGTTGACTTAACACTGCCAACCAAGGCAAACCTGTTGTCTTGTAAGTCGTAAAATGTTGCACTGTCGCAAACGTGACAGAAGTAACAATGAGAGCGCCCACTGCCGCCTACTGTGCGCAATTACACTTTCTACTAGTACGGCCAAAAAAAAAGCCTGTTTCCCCAGGATCACACGCCCCCCCAGGTATCGCACCGCGCCCCCCAAAGGGGGCCCGCCCACTATTTGAGAAGCACTGACCTAACCTAACAAAGGTTGGTGTTACTGCACTAAAAGGCAGGTCTACCAAGCACTGACTGGAGGGAACTGAAAACAAATCTTCATTATTTAACTGACGGCAGACATTTCCCACTTTAGAGGCCGTATCTGCTGACAGAAGAATATTCTTCAGTTTGTGCTTCTAAGAAACAGGTAACATGTTAAATGTGAATGTCTTTCTCCTGAAACTGTCGTTTTTATTTCTGGTGGAGTTCATCTTTATTTGGTGAGCAATGCTTTGCTTACCACATAATGCAAACACCAGAGGCTTCCGCTCACACGTGGCTTATAAATGTCACACAAACCATAAGGGAGCGGAAAATTGTCAAAACCAAGATTTGAACAAAGATTTAGCAAAAACAGGAATATGCAAAATACATTGGTTTGTCAGCACTCATGTACGCTACAGCCAGAAGATTTGTGCTTCGTTTTCTTTCTACTGGTTACAAACAAGTTACAAAAGTGAAAACATCTGTAGAATAGGACAAAAACAAATATTCTACCCTGCTTGTTTCTCAGCTCAGATTTTGGGGGAAGTATTGAGTTTCTCTTTTAAAAATGTGTTTACCAGTGTACTGTCTTTCCCACTTCACCACGAAGTAAAGGACCGGCAGCAAGGTTCAACACCTTTCTTCCATTAACACACTGAAGACAATTCTCTTTGTCCACAGGTTTAATAATGCAGAAAGTGTGGAACTGAAATAAATACAACAAAAAATACGATTACAACATGCACCATTGTGTTACAGTAAAATATCATGAAAAAACTAAACATGAGTAGATAAACAGTATACATAGACGATGATACGAAAGACGAAGGATGGAGGCAGATGGACGTGGATAACAATCAGACATCAAGCACCATGTAAACATCCACCGATTTTTACTTCCTGTGACGTCACTTGCTATTTACAAAATCTCCTGTTGGGGGTGCTAAAACTATACTTACAACAACACTAACACCACTCTAACAGCACAACCAGAGAGTTTAATAGCATCCACCACATAGAAAAATGGCAGATATTTTGTTGATGTGCCCGGTGCTAATACATTGAATGCATTCCTTTCAGAGCGCATTCATGTTGAGAGAGGTTGTAAGTGTCAGTGAAATATCTTATGTTTTGAGAAAACTTTGTTTCTGATAATTAGTATGATGTATTTTAAGTTTGGTTCAAGTTCGAGAGTTGTGTAGAATAATTGTATTTTATATCGTGTCAAACTGTTTGTCGGGAGTTGTCGCGAGATTTTATGTATGTGAGACTGCCAGACTTAAAGGAAAAAAAAGGAAAAGAGGAGCAGAAGCCTGAAAAAAGCTACAGGTAGCAGCCTCGTGGTTATCAGGTATTTTTCAATTATGTTTGTAATTTGTTAATGTATCGATTATAGTGTTTTAATTGTTTGCTATTTAATTTAGTGTGGACGATTGAGTTAAGTGAAAGCCCTCCGAAGTGGCAGGCGGCCATGAGGTAATTTGTCAAAACACGTGTCACCTGTTTTTTGTAAGTGTGTCTATGTCTAAAGCTGTTTTTTTATTTCTGTAGTTTTCACGGCGTTTAATGAAAGAGCCCGTCAAAAGAAAGCCGTGCCAGTGTGTCACTTTGGAGTTACAGTGAAAACTCGCCCAGCCAGCGCCGGTAAGAAGCTCGTTAAGACGACGGCAGCTGCAGTGAGTGACGATACCATGGTGCAACACAAGAGGGCACCATTTCTCAAGCTCGCCGTTCACAAGACGTCAAACACAGCAGTAACAACCTTGTATGACTGCAGTAAGGTAGAAATTAAGAAAGGACAGTGTTAAAAGTCGAAGAAGAGTGCTTTAAGTGATGTTTAAAGCTATAATAGTTTCTATAACACATTTGTCAAAAGGTTACTTATTTTCTACTGTACTTCAAAGTTATGTGTCGTTAAGGAAAGAGTTGTGTATTTATCTTGAGGTCAAACTAAGTGCTAAGTTAACAAAGTTGTTTAATGTGAAATACATCTGTATAAGAGTGAAGCTAATTACAGTTTAAAGATACAGTTAAAAAGTAATATTTAAGTCACATAAGCTAGAAATTAGAGTGTTTTGTAATTTACGTTGAGCTTTGATTGACTTTCAACCAGACTTACAAGATGACTGATAAAGATCATACAGAGCTCTATGCTGTATCAAGTACTAAAGTGGGGGAAAATGATACTGAGCAAATCTCAGAACCACAGACTGTTCGAAGAAGTGAAAGAGTTAGAACGTTAACCGAAAAGGGTAAAGAGTTTCAAGAGGAGAAACTTAAAATGCTTCAACACAGATATGCAGTCAGTTTTGAAAAATGGAGATATGAAGCAAGACTGAGCAAAGTAATACTAAGAAGAGAAGCTTCAGACAGTGAATTAAAGGAACTCATTAACAATGTAAAGGTTACCTGCACAGATATGCAAACCATTTATGAGGAAATACGACAAATACAAACTCCTGATGCAGACGCAAGGCGCAAAGTAGATGCATGTACATCACTTTCTGCATTCATTATCAGAAGAGCTGAGAAACAACTGCAAGGAGACTTTGCAGAAGGCGACAAAGAACCATGGCCAGATTTTGGGTCATGCTTAGGATCTGAAAGTACGACATCAAGGTCAAAATCCAGAAGGTCTAAAAGTAGCTTAGGTAGTTCACAAACAACCAAGAGACTGGAAGCAGAGGCTGAGGCAGCTGCATCTCAAGAAATATTAGCAGTTATGGAAGAACAAGAAAAGGAAACAATTGAGTTACAAAAACTGGAACGTGAGAATTTTGAAAGGCAGCAAGCAATGGAAGAGCAGCGAAGAAAGATTAAACGCTTGGAAGAAGTTAAAAGATTTAATGCTGCAAAAGCACGACTAAAGGTTTATGATGAAGCTGAAAGTGTTTATGCAAGTCAGAGTTCATCGCAAAGCATTAAAGCAGAAAGTGAAATCCAAGCGATCCCTGTCATGGCACACAGTTCTTCTCCAGCTTTAAATGTATCCCAAGTCCATAACGCTACAATCGTTGGTTCTGTGCCACACATTCCTACAGTATTAAACCAAACTCAATTAAGTCCTGGCGAACGACCTAAAGCCACCATAAGGCAAACACTTAAAGCATCAAGTCCACCATTTATCCCTCAAGCTACACAGGTTTCCTCTGTTGCAGCTCAACAACAGTCAAATTATGAGCTAGTTGGCATACTAGCAGAAGCAATAAGTGCTAATCGTCTTCCAACACCAGAGCCTACATTGTTCACTGGTGACCCATTAAAGTTCAAAGATGGGCAGTTGTCATTTGAAACCTTGATAGAAAGGAAAAACATCCCAAAGAATGAGAGACTCTATTATCTCAGAAAGTATCTCGGTGGACCCGCAAAGAGAGCAGTTGAAGGTTTTCTCTTGGTGGGGACAGATGAAGCATATGACTCAGCTTGAAAAGTGCTGGAAAAACGTTTTGGAGATCTATTCACCATCGGAAAATGCTTCAGAGACAAGCTTCACAGTTGGCCTAAAATAAATTCCAAGGACAGGAGTGAGTTGAGAGAATTTGCTGACTTCCTGCAGAATTGTGAAGCTTCAATGTTGCACATAAGGTCATTGGAGGTTCTCAATGACTGTATGAAAATCCAGAAACTTTTGCTGAAACTTCCAGATTGGTTGACCACAAGATGGAACCGGACAGCCATAAAAATAAGAAGGGCTAGTGATGGAGAATATCCATCTTTTCATGTGTTTGCTGATTTTGTTTCTACTGAAGCAGACTTGGCATGTGATCCCATAGCCTCAATGCAAGCTTTGAAAGGTTTGGAAATGAATAAACCCAAACAATTACGCAACCAAGTCGTTCAAGCAAAAACGCTAACAACAAACTCAAATCACACAAATACTGTAACTTGTCTTTTCTGCAAAAGAAATGGACACACACTTGATAAATGTTTCAAATTCACAGAAACCACACTTCAAGACCGTATCAAGTTTGCACAAGCAGAAAGGTTGTGTTTTGGATGTTTAAAAAGAGGACATAATTCTAAGAAGTGTGACAAAAGAAGCACATGTGAAAAATGCCAAAAGAAGCATCCAACATGTCTGCATGATGAGACATTCATTGAGCGTAAAAGGGTAATACCTGCAGTGAGTGAAAGGTCTCAAGACAAGGATGAAGCTGACACTACAGAAGGAGACAAACCATCAGTTGCAATCTCTAACAGAGTAGCTCAAGTAACTTCAAGCACGTTGACATCATGTATGGGTTTCGGCAAAGAACAACCCAGACAGAGAAGTTTTAGTTTATGCACTTCTTGATTCACAGAGTGAGACATCCTTCATCTTGGATGAAGTGGCCCAAGATCTTGACAAACAAAAGTAAAGTCAATCTGAGCCTATCAACTATGTCTGCCAAGTCAACAGTTATACCATGTGACAAGCTGGTAAACCTTCAAGTGAGAGGATATAAGGATGAAAAGAGAATTACATTGCCACCAGTCTATACAGGAGAGTTTATTCCCGTCAACAGATCACATATTCCGACGTCTAAAACCGCCTTAAGCATAATAAGCAGAGTGCTGAGCACAGATTGTCTTTATTGGATCTTCCAATCAAAAAGGAAATGCCAGGAGAAGTTGAAGAGACAGATCCTGAACTCCGCACAGGTCACGCACACACCGTGCAGTCAAAAGAAGGGAACCCAGTTTTAGAGCGTCTAAAAAGGTTCTCTGATTGGTCGAGAGCAGTAAAAGCTATTGCCAGACTCAAACGATGCATAAAAGGTGTTCAAGAAAGAACAAACAAAACAACAAATCTTGAAGAAAGAAGAGACACAGAAGTGTTCATTATCAAGCTAGTGCAAAGAGAAGCCTTTACTGAGGAAATACAGAAAATCAGATCTCAGAAGGAAAATTCTCTGCACAAGCATAACAGACTAAAGAAGCTAAATGCTTTCTTGGACAAGTCCGATGTTCTCAGGGTGGGAGGAAGATTAACCCAATCAGCCTTGCATCATCATGTCAAACATCCCGCAATTCTTCCAAAGGATTCTCATGTGTCAGCCCTCCTCGTTAAACACTACCATGAACGTGTACATCACCAAGGAAGAGGCATGACAATAAATTAATTGCGTGCAAATGGCATATGGATTCTAGGATGTGGAAGTATGGTCTCTTCTTACATTTACCATTGTGTTAAATGTAGAAGATATAGAAGGGCCACAAATGTCCAACAGATGTCAGAGTTACCAGAAGTAAGAACAAAAACAGCACCTCCTTTTACTTATTGTGGTGTCAACTGTTTTGGTCCATTCATGATAAAGGAAGGAAGAAAGGAAGTAAAAAGATATGGATTATTGTTCACATGCTTATGTTCACGAGCTGTGCATATTGAAACACTTGATGACTTATCAACTGGTGCTTTCATGAACCCTCTTCAGGTCCTGATTGCCATAAGAGGTCCTGTCCGACAATTAAGATGCGACCAAAGGACAAATTTTATGGAAGCCAGAAGAGAGTTCCTGGAGCTAATGAAAGATGTGGACCAAGAACCACAAAGAGCTATTGGTTGCGAGTTTGTGATGAACGTTCCATCAGCTAGCCACATGGGAGGCATCTGAGAACGGCAATTCGGACAGTACGAAGCATACTAACAGCAATGTTAGATAAATTCTCAAACAGACTTGATAGGACTAGTCTAAGAACACTCCTTTACGAGACAATGGCCATCATTAACAGTAGGAGTGTGGAGTATCTTAATGATCCCTTGGGTCCAGAGCCATTAACTCCCAATCACATATTAACGATGAAGTCTTCAGTTGTTCTACCTCCTCCAGGACAGTTTTGCAGAGAGGATTTGTACTTGAACAAAAGATGGAGAAGAGTAAAATTTCTAGCAAACGAGTTTTGGCAAAGATGGAAACGAGAATATCTGCTAAATCTCCAACAGCGACAGAAATGGCAGAAAGTTTCACGGAATCTGCACATTAATGACATTGTGATCCTACAAGATGATAATGCTCCAAGATTTAAATGGAAACTAGCTCTAGTTGTAAAGACTCTAGAAAGCCCAGACGGCAAGGTTCGAAAGGTGAAACTAAAGACAAGTGAAACGACATTTGACAAAGGAAAACCATTGACAAGGTTGATATATTTAGAAAAACCTATTCACAAGGTAGTGACTTTACTCGAGACTAATACAGAGTAAAACAGTTTCTATTTTTGACACTCTTTGGAAAATCACATTGAGAACCAATTAGTCATTGGTTCTCAATGACTAATTGAGAGTGTAAGTGTCAGTGAAATAACT